GGGCCCCAGGTGGGCCCCATCGAAAAATGTTACTTGGGTTTTTTGTTTGGGAAATTACGCTTTTTCCAATGATGTGCATATTGCTGGATTTTGTCGATGTTATAGGCCTGAAATTGTTGAAAACGTTTATTTATGCCCCGAGGGTATACTCCCGGGCCCATATATTTGAAGCTGTTTTGTTCGGTTCAGGGGGGCGCTAGACCCCTATATTTGGTACCGTTGTACGTAAAATTCTGTCCTCTTTCGCATGACGTGCTTTTTTAGCTGTTTTGACGGCTAGAAGTAGGGTTTTCAAAGTTCGTCGATTGTGCCCTGAGGGCATACTGTTTTTTGGGATTTGTGGCCCCCCTGATGGATTCCCCGCATTTTGGCACTAGGATTTTCGATAGAGGACACCATTCTGCACCTCTCCACCAAAATTCAGCGAAATCGGAGGGGCCGTCGATCCCTGCTGAATCCCTGCTGAACCCCTGCTGAATCCCTGCTAACTTCCGTTACATGGTTTTAGGTTGTAGGTAGGTAGGTTTGTAGGTTAGGTTAGGTTAGGGTAGGTTTGTAGGTTGTAGGTTGGTAGGTTATAGGTAAGTAGGTAAGGTTAGGTCAGGTTTGATTATGTTTTTTCTTTTATTTGCAAGACATATGAGTATCATTTTTGGATTCAGGATGTCAAATAATGTAAAAATATGAAAAATTTATCAATGAAATCTTCTTAGGACTTAAACAATGTCATGCGTCCGATCTACTCAAGGATGGACCGGGGACCGGGCCTTGGATGCAAGCGATGCAAGATTATGAGATGATGTTTTTCGTACCCCAGCGTAGATGGGTAGCCATTCGGCTTCCACGGTTGACAGTGATGACATCAGTCATCTTTTGCAAGCTCGTTAAAGAATTTGGGCTGTACGGGGACTCGAACCGCGGGCCTTTGGATTAGCGCTCCAATGCTCTACCTCTGAGCTATACATACCAAGTACTTTAATGAGCTTTCTGCCAAGTTTTATGCGGATCATTCTTAGGTGTAAAAAAAAAACCGATGCAAGATTACTTTTTATAGACCTCACTACCCTGTCAAGCATATATCGGGGTTACATGAGCACAGTAAATACGTATTTAGCCGCTAATTCGAATAAGGAACGCATTACCGACTCATGTAGCCACCTGCTAGTACGAATCGGCGATCCGATCCGCGGTTACATGAGCAAAGCAAATACGTATCACGATCGGATTCACCGCTAATGCGAATCAGGAGCGTACTACCGACTCATGTATCCACCTGCTAATACGAATCGGCGGTCCGAACAAAATCCGCTGAGAAACAGGCTTAGGAGCGAATAGGACCAAGATACGTATTACAGGAACTATTTCTTCCCAAAAAGAAACATTAAAATGCAAAATTATAGGTACCTTTTTCATTTTCTTCTTTTGGAAATATTATTAAAAAATTATGTGGGTATTCTGTCAAGTTTTCAAAAATAAATATCGTGAAAACCAAAAAGTAAAAATCTAAGTACTTTCAGTTGAAACATTTTTCTGACAGCACTACAGACGAATCAAGAGAGGCAAGTGCCCAATGAGTCAAAGCAAGACAAATTTATGTTCAACTTTTTTTTGTTAAGTTAATTGAGAATGATCAGAGCAGATTAAATGCAAAAAAGACATCAGATAATAAATTTTTAATTCAGTCACCTCTATTGCTACGGAAATGCGCCACATTTGTATGCTATTCCGTTTGTAATGCGCATCGGGCCGAGAGCCAAACTAGATCCGTTTGACGTCACTAAAACGAATTTGCTCATGTAGTCGGTGCCGTGAATAAGTTCTAGGGGAGCTGATGCGAATTAGCGTAGTACCTACGTATTTGGAACGGATCGCTCATGTAGCCGATTTGTACGACTCGGACCGGAACTGGACGTATTTCACAAGAACTATTCTTTGCTGAATGGAAGCGTCAAAATGCAAAATGATAAGCCTTTTTTATTGAATGCTTCGTAGAAAATAGCAAAAAAAAATTGGTGATATTTTTGTTTAGTCTTTGAAGGTGAATTCGGTAAATAGCAAAAATAAAATGAATGAAATATTTTGATGGATAAATTTATTCTGACCACCCTGCTGTCGCTGCATGGCTAATCAGTGCTCAGTGATTTAAAACACGAAAACTTTGTTTTCAATTTTTGATTTCATGTTTCTTTTTGAATGTTTTTGAGCATATCAAATGATGTTATATCGTGCAATAATAAAAATTTAGTTCGGTCGTCCCTGTAAATGCCGCAACTGCGCCATGACTGTACGCTAATCCTATTCCGTTTGTGATGCGAATTACCGGCCGTCGGGGAGTCAGCCCGGGTGAGCCAAACAAGATCCGTTTGACGTAGATAAAACGAATTAGTCTCATGTAACCGGTGCCGTAGATACGTTTGTGGGGAGCTGATGCGCATTAGCGTAGTGCGTATTTGGAACGGATCGCTCATGTAACCCCGGTAATAGATATACAGACTAGATAGGACACGCCCATTGGCTCCCCATACTAGCGAACATGTAGGTCAGGCGGCCATGTTGGGGCAGCCGTCTACATAGACTCGCATTTGCTACAACACGTAAAGTGGATGGGGCTGGAGCGGTTTCGAGCCCGTTTTCCAAACCGATTTTTGAGTTATTGGGATGCTGCAGATGGCCAGTATGGTTATGAAATGATTAGTTAGAGCCTATAACCTCACCAAATGTATTTGAAATCAATTTTTTATCATCGTACCGTACCGCAGCGAGGGATTAGTCACCCCTTGTTCCCAGACGGTTTACTCGTGCTTGTTCGGTACACGCTGGCCTCAGAGAGCTGAAAGTTGGTACAACTGACCTTTCATTAAATCCGGATCTTATGACACTAATCACCCTTTCAGGTCATGCCCGGTCACTGACCTATGACGTCATAATAAAGCCACCGCGCGGTCATGACATGCCGCAACTTCGCAATGCCTTCAGTGCCACTGCCAGAGGAGCTTTCACAGGGAGATCAAACTAACAGAACCTTGTACCCTCCAGAGGACTTATAGCTTGTATATCTAATATTTTTCCTGACGGTCACCTGAGGTCAGGTCAGTCACGTGACATCGCCATCACAAGTCAATGGGGAAAGGTGGTAACTGCTATTTTGGTGCCAAAAATGATTGAAGATTATGCAAACGCACGAAACCATGAGATAATACACATCTTGTAAACCAATTTTTAACTTTTGCACCGTTTACTTTAGCGACATAGATTACGTCACAAAGCCAGAGTCGGAGGTTTAGGTAAATCATTCGATTAAATTGAGCTGGCGAGTCGGGACAGTCACCAATGGACTGAAGACCGTCAAAATCGAAATGAGTTATACGGCCCTCTTAGATCAACGTGACGTAAGGTCAGAATTCTAGGTTGAACTTATCCTAGCACAAGCATATCATCGACGCGCCTGAGCATGGTGACTAGGATAATGCCTATATCGCTAACGTTTATCAGCAAACTAGACGCTACTACATCAGCACCGCCCGTCCTGCCGTCGATGCCGCCACAGACGGGTGCCGCTGCTCCCTGGGAGCCGCCTCGGTGTCCGACCTGCCGTCGGGGCCACCATAGACGGGTGCCGCTATTCCCTGTAGACTGCCTCTGTTGCCTGGTCTGCCGTCGGCCCCCCCCCCCCCCCACCCCCACACACACACATAAACGTGTGCCACTGCTCCCAAGGTGCCGCCCGGCCTGCTGTCGGGGCCGCTACAGACGGATGCAGCTGCTGCCGGAGTGCCGCCCGACCTGCCCATCGGGGCAGCCACAGACGGGAGACGCTGCTCCCTGGGCACCGCCCGGCCCGCCCGTCGAGACCGCCTCTGACGAGTGACGCTCCCTGGGGCGTGCTGTCCGGATCGACATTTTCCCGTTCTTGTGTGCGTTTCGAGACTGCTTGGAACAGGCCAACGTCCTAGTCGGAGCTTTCTCTAGCCTTTGCTTCAGCCCCCGCTGCTCTGGCAGCTATTGAAATGGTCCTGAGGAAAATAAAAACAACCAATCATGCCTACTTCTTAGTTCTCCTATAGGGATAGGGCGATGAGCGGACTCGACACTGACATGCACACACTGCCATGTTCACACACATTCACACATGAGGCGATCAATCATGGTCCATGGAATACAAATCTTTATGAGCGAGAAAGAAATGAGATTGATTATCGAAAAATATTGATATAACTTCAAAAAATATCGGGTTAAATGAGTACGAACTGTCAAACTTGGTATCAAGCATTCTAGAGGCCCATATCTTTGCAGCCATACATGCTGTTTAGCAAACAGTTATCATGTTGTGTAGCTTATCCGTTCTTCCTTGAAATTACGCATTGTTGAAGCATTTGGGGAGTCAACTTGGCACGTTCCACCAGGCACTTACTAAATCATCGGTGCCAAATCTGTTCTGTTTGCAATAACTCCTATTTAATGCCTGGACACATTTTGATGAAACTTTGTGTGTTGTTGGGCACCCACTTCCCTTGGCAATGCAATGAGAAATGTGGTTTGGTTGCAAGCACGTGCTGGGTATTTTTATGACTCCAGAATGGCAGGATGCATTGCATACAAAATTGGGACACTGGTTGGAGACCAATCTGATGAGTGGCTTATAAGTTTAAGCAATCACTTGAGGCATACTATTGTATGTGTACAATTGTACATGTGCAGAGCACGTATCTATTTCTCACAAACATCTGGAATGATTGTGCTCAAAGTTGGTATGGTATGTTGTAACAGTATAAACAGATCATAGGCTGCTTTCACATGTTAGCAATGACACAGCAGTGGACTCTGCTCACCTTGCACAACTACATGACACTCACCTGCAGGTGGGCAGGGAAGAAAGACCTGATGGGACTGCACCATAGCACAGCCAAACTGGTCTGTGCAATCGAAGGAGCCCTCATCATGAAGTGTGCCGCATGACCAAGCTTGCCCCGGGGCAAGCAAAGCAATACATGTTGCCACCAGCCCATCTTCACCTGAATGCGCCAGTCCTTTCACTGTACACACCTGGGTCTTGAGGAAACCTAGAAAGTGAAAATGACAGGCATCTGTTAATGTGTTGAATAACTGGTAACTTAAGGGGCTGGGTGGAGGTTAGTTCAAATGAAATACCCTTTGTACCTATACATTTATATTCACTGCATCTTGATGCTACTGAACTCCTAACAGACCATTGTTTAATCAATTGTCCTTATGGCCAACTGTTGTTATGGATTGTGATGTATCCACATTAAAACATGAACAGAGACTATCTCACAAATCACATAAGAACAATACTAACTGCAATTTATATCCATTTCTAAAACATCCTCTCAGACTTAACTGAAAAAGACATTTTCTATTTACCTGTGGAGAAACACACCCCTTCTTCCTTCAAACTGGTTGGAGCAGTTGCTAGCTAGGCATCTTGCAGCCTTTTTGAGCACTTGTGAGTTGCACATATAACTGAACCTGAAAGATAGATACAATAACTGATCATTTTCTTGAGTCAATTACCTGGGCTACATTACCAAGTAACTACGCATCAGGAAAGGATTTTCCTACTCGCTCACCGCTGTACTCAGTTTGAAATATGCATTTACCAACTTTGCTCATAAAACCCAGGTCAATGAAGACTTAGGTATTTCAAAGCATTTAGATGGCAAGAGAAATATTGCAATATCTGTAAGGCTATAAAATGGTTCACAATTTTGGAATTTCACATGTAGACCATTGTTTTTAAGGCGCCAACCACAGCCCAGACGGCAATGCCGAAAACATATTGCCAGTGCAGAGCTGCTCATCAGCTGCACAGGGTGGCTTAGATTTGCAGCAGAAAGTTCAACATTTTTGTGTTGAGCATTGCTGGCCATAACATCATACAATGCAGATCTGCTGCACTAGCATATCATATCTACTCCAAGAAAATGGTGAACAGATAGTCAGTCCTCAGAGACATAACGCAGTCACTGACTGCAAGTCAGCATGTGACTTAAATTTCAAGTCTTATATTGCAGCATTTCCTATCAACAGCGAAGATATATAAGCTTCTGGTAAAAATGTAGGTCTTGCCAGTCAGTGCAGCTGATATCTGTTGCAGATTGTCAGAGGACTGAAGCAGACATGTCGCCCCAGCTTGTGCGGCTTGCTGACTGTGTTGACGTGCTTTGCAGTCTGGCGCACAGTAACTTTTCAAAAGCTGAAGTGTTTTAAAATATGAAATGAGGATATTTTTGACATAGTGTTATAATTTAACCTACCATAGGCCTACAATAAAACTCATTTTAGCACCAGCATTCTGCATCACAAACTACACTTTTCAATTCCTAGATCTTTTGTTGTTTATAAAGTAAATAAGGAAGAAAATAAAGGTATGAGATCCTACTGTACTTCCACACAATGTTTTTCCAACAAAATGTACTATCAACCCCTTAAATACCCTCAAATGCAAAGCAGCATACATGTAAGACAATGGCGCCATCCGGGTAACACTCCCTCCTTTCTATCTTCATATATCTAAATCAAAACTAGTTGAGCACAATTCAACCTCCATTTGACATTCTCCAAGCTTCAATCTATGAGCTGAACTCCAGAGACAAACACTATTCACTCTAAAATACCAAAAAATGTGCCGTAAACTTTCCCAATTTCCCGTTCACTTACACAGAACTGCCCCGCCGAGGGCTGCCCCAACATGGCGGCGCCCTCTACATGCCGTCGCTAAACAGCTGCCCTATCTAGTCTGTATATCTATGCTGTCAAGGATCTAACGGATCTACTTTCAGGTGCTCGGTCTCCGCTATGTGGACAATTGCTGCGCAGTAAATACAAAACACAGCAAAATGTGGCAATAAGTGGTGGCCACGAAATAAAAAAGCTTGTCAAGATTTAAATACTTTGATATTTGGTGTTGTTTTTTGTGGTTTAAGACGCATCGTTTTTAAATGAGTTGTATACTAAATGTATGGGCATCATATTAGCTAAAATAATATCCCTAATGTTAAATTTTTAGCTGATCGTTTTGCAGTAGACAAAGTTCCCAGTAGGCATGCCAACGCCGGCCCGACGTCGGCAAACATCGGGGTGACGTCCAGAGGCGGATCCAGCTCAGAGTTTTTTTGGGGGGGGGGCAAACCATAACAATTTATCGATTCTTTCCGTGCCTCGTCCATAGGCGTAATGTTAAAATTATGCCGTTTGGGGGGGGGCAAATGCCCATTTTGCCCCCCCCCCCTGGATCCGCCACTGGTGACGTCGGCATCTCGGCGTCGGCATGCCGACGTCGGTCCGACCCAGGGTACCTACATACTGGGTATACTCAAGTCCGCTCATTGGCCATGCTTACGTCACATATGGAAGGCGCGTCTAGTAGCTAGTAGGAACCAGATTCTAGTATATTTAATGAAATATGGATGATTTTTTGGTAGGTTTATGCTAGGTTCTAGTTGGTACTAGATATGGTATCGATCGTTTATAAGTTTTCATTTATTTTCTTTTGAATAAATGTTCATTCTGATTCCAAAAGAATTAAAACATTATTTTTCATAATAACTTATTGTAGTTTATTTTATTTGTACGTGATAGATACAGCTACGTTTAAACAATTAACAAGATTAGTCAGCTGACTGGATTTCGCCGAACATCCGTTCTTAACGGCGCTACGTTCAAATAAGCATACCGTGGTGCTCTTTGTGGCGCGGGCGCTGGAATTCGGCGTCTTTTGTGCGTTGGCAGATTGATATGGACGACGGTGAAAACAGGGCGCCTGGGGCGATTTGATCAAGGTTCGTGAAATTTACACGTGACGTTTGGCATATAGAAGGCCCATGAAGCGGGAGAAGTTCCAAATGTCACGTGACTAAAATGCCCTCCGGCGCCCTGTTTTCACCGGCGTCCATTGATATGATTAGTGCAGTGACATTATTTCATTTTTTTTTTGCTAGCTTGTGGTTGGTGATAGTTTTCTGGTCAATATAGTCAATTGAATTTCCTGGTCAATTGAAGATGCCCGGTTGTGCAGTCCCTGGCTGTAAACACCATACTAACTCCCCCCAGTAATATTATTTGTCAATAACAATTAAGTCAATAACAATTTAGCTATCTGATTGGCAAAAATCATTACACGGACCTAGGATAAACATACATACGCCATGAAGGATGAAAACAATCATGAGTTGGGAGGTTACCCCTACAGATAAATCGCAGTGTAAGTAACCTTATTACGATATCAAGTTTTTTAACGTTGTGCGTATAGAACCGTGTGACGATTTGTGTGAACCATCTTACAAACATATTCTGAATTCTGAAATATTTCTAATGATAATTTTCAGCGACCATTGCTGCAGCTTCATACAAATTTCTTCCTGCTCGCAACCTTAACGCTCCGCCTATGTCATTTAGTAGCCGAGTCCCCTGCATTTACAGGGGGTTCATACACTGTCTGACATTGCGCTCAGGCCGCCCCGAGTACAATCTCTGACAGGGGAATTCCGCCCGAGGCGTCTGGCCGGCGGCCCGGGGGAGCCTGCGCTCAGAAACATGGATTGAGGGGTGAGACTAAATGCTTACTTCGAAATCTAAGCTGCGTTGCGGCATTGGCGGTTATGTGCGGCGTGTATGCCGCATGCTTAGCAAGCGGCGACCACTAAATTAAAAACTCAATAGCTTTGACCTGTTTTCAATGGATAACACTGCATACCAAAAATGTCCATCGCTCTCGTCATAGGATATTTAGATTTAAATAACTAACTTATCTACATCATCGTTTTGAACCAAATTAATACTTTCAACTTGACCCTCGCCCGTATTGGTGCTTTTCCAGCCGCGAACGTATAAGGTATAACCCCTTGCCGTTTCGCTCCTGATCAAGCTAGAGCTTCGCGGAAAAAACGAGCGTGTTGCCCGTGACGAGAGGAAGCCGGTGATACCCAATTTTAAGGTCCTAGGTCATCGGTTGACCTTCCAGGTCAGGTCAATGACCCAAAAAACGGGAAAATCAGGACCTGTTAGAACGTCGTAGTGTGGCTGCCATGGGGTTTTTCGGGGTGCTGATCACGAATATCATGCTAGTTTTGATCACAGATGATGTCTTCATTCATTTAGGCCAGGTCGGGTCAGGTCAGGTCAGGTCAACCAGTAGAGGTCCTGCCGGGTATTTGTAGTGGGTGTCAACCGCCTCTGACAGCCTCGTAGCATGTTACGAAGGCACCAAAACTACTTTGTAAACGTTCATGTGGTTGCCAAATTCGAATTCAGGTCGAAAAACTGGCCTAGAAACATGTCAAACTCGAAAAAGTGAACCGAGGTCACCAAAGGTCAATGACCTGACCTGACCTTCAGGTGACCTTGACACCCACCCTGATGCATGGGGGCAAGATCATATCACATGTTTGAACGCTTGAAACCACGAAAAGACTGCAAACGCGCTGCTAATGCGAGCCGACATACGCTGAATCGCGGTTCCGGCCAAACATGGTCTCGAAAAGTAGGTCACAGGTCAAAGGTTATTTGCGTCAGGGTCATGAAATTTTCAGGGTAGGTGTAAAATTGATCAACGCGAGGGTACTAAAAGTTACGTCGTGATCGGCCGCTTTTTACGCGAGTTATTCGCGAAAAACCGAGGGGAGTCCGTTCGACCCCCCCTAAAGGGCGAGGGTTAACTCACAGTCCGAACTCCGAACAAGTTCGGTCTTGTTTGTGAATTTGTCGGAGCATCACCTAAATCTAGTAGAGATGATGGAGGGAAACTAGGCTTTTAAGGAGGGAAGGGAGTCGGTGACGGTCAGGGACACTACAAGCAGAGCAGTCATAGGCTGGTGACAGGGCTGACACCATGTTTTGATAGCATGACTGAAACAGACTTTTTGGGTAGCCAGGAAATCGCATGCGAGAGCCTATTGAAATTCTTACATCGGCCTTTATATGCACCAGTCGTATACAGGTGCGGGATTTGGCATACGATTTCCAGACAATCGAAAGACTGTTTGGAGCCAACGAAGGAAGGAATGAGTGAGTACTAAGTTGAAAGCAATAATTTGGTTCAAAATGATGATGCAGATAACTTAGTTATTTAAATCTAAATATCTTATGACGAGAGCGATTGGCATTTTTGGTATGCAGTGTTATTCATTGAAAACAGGTTGGAGCGTTTAAGTCTTTAATTTAGTGGTCGCCGCTTACTAATCATGCGGCATACACGCCGCACATAACCGCCAATGCCGCAACACAGCTTAGATTTCGAAGTAAGCATTTAGTCTCACCCGGATTGAGTTACACTCGATTTGACGGAATTTGAGTACGCTCTGAAACAATCGCGTCGAGAGCCCTTGCTCAGAATTTAATGCTCTTTCTAACGAGCCTAAATATGTAGCAAAATTCACAAAAATGGCGACGTGGATGGGGTAGTTCCATCTGCCCTTTTAACGCGCGGCGGTTGCGGGCGGCTGCGGATCTATGGCCACGGTGACGTCATTGCTACCAAACGACTTGAGAGGGGCCCGGTCCGACCTCGGCACGACGTCGGCTGGACGGCGGGTACGCCCGCATGTACCGTTGTTCTATATACCCTGCATGTACCGACGTCCAGCCGAGGTTTAGCCGACGTCGTGCCGGCGTTGGGCCGAGATCGTTTGCCGAGGTTGAGGTGAGATGACGTCCGGCCGACGTCGGCCGCTGTCTTGACCGTTAAAATAATATGAAATGCGTGTTTCATATTTCATGAAGAGCTGTAGGTATTCAAAATATGTTCAAAGTTACTCCAAACTACTCCAAATCACTTGTTTGTTATATAACTACACCTTTTTGCATTTGAATTCAACCATTCGCCATAACTGTTTGAGGAGCCATTTAGACATTCGGCATTGAGCACAATTATTCCGGCGTTGTGTGTTTCATTTCAGCCAGTCAGCAAAACAGATTGAACACTGAAATGAGCGATCTGCAAAACAGTTTGACACTTCTCCAGGCTTCGGCATTGAGCGAGCTAGCTCGGTATATGACGTAAAGTTTCGGCCAATGATGATTTGTTTTGCACAATGCTGAACCATTCGCTCAATGTCGAGTTGTAGAGGAAGACCGCCGAATAGTTTTGCACAATGGTGATTCTTTGTGACCAACCGCCCATTTGTAGCGCCACCTATATGGCGTACGTGTACAAACGTTTTGTCCAATGGTCAAAAGCTAACGCAAAAAGGTGTATTATATTTTACTTTACGGGTTACGGACAAAAGTACGTATCGCTTAAGTACGTAGGACAAAAGTACGTAAGCAAAAGTACGTAGGATTAAAGTACGTATCGCAGAAGTACGTACAGTATAAAGTACCTACGTATGAACAAAAGTACGTCAGGGACAAAAGTACGTATCGCAGAACTACGTACAATATAAAGTACGTATGGACAAAAGTACTTCAAGGACAAAAGTACGTATCGCAGAAGTACGTACAGTATAAAGTACGTATGGACAAAAGTACGTCAGGGACAAAATTTCTGTATTTCTGTATTTGCGCAAATCACCAACAGGCTTGGCCCAATGACAGGTGAAGTCATATAAGTATATCACACACCAAACACACTATAAAAATAATGATCTGTTCCAAGTACAGAAGACTAGAAGTAAAAGTAGTACCTATAGTGTAAAAAAGACTATAAAGGCAGAGTGTAAATGACTACGAAGGCATAACAGATAAATAGTACCTACTATAGAAGTACATACGATATACATAAACATTAAAACACTGTATAAAATACTGAAAGTACTGAATATCTACCTACCTAAAAATAAAGCATTAGTGATGTATGGTGTGCACAAGATGAAAAGCTTAAAACATCACAAGCTAATTTTTACACGACAGGAGGAAGGGTTGACACATACAGCACGCTCTGCCTCTTCAACTGACCAAGTGAATCGAAAAATAAGTCTGCTGTTTCAACAGACCCTAGAAAGTGGTTGACAGTGCGTGGGATGCGCGAGAACAAGCCGGATGATACAGTGTTCACTCGAGCAAACGGCAGAGTAAATAATGCTCTGTTCATGGTTCTGGCTTGTCTGATCGGTACCTGTAACCCAAAACACTGTAATAAAAACGACGAAGAGATGAAACCTTTAAACACTTTGGATAAAAACATGACATCATACTGTGCTCGCCGAGCACCCAAGTGGAGCACACCGTACGATGCCAGTAAATCACAGTAGGCCAGAGAGGCTCCGACATAGCCCGTACGACGCGCAAGCCACATTAAAAACTTATGTTGCACTCTCTCCACACGAACTAGATGGCATTTGGCTGCACCGCCCCATATGATTGAACAGTATTCAAGAATCGATCGGACGTTTGCATTGTAAGCCGCCAGAGCCGCCTGCTTGTCTACCTTGCACCGGGGGGAGGCTGACTGGAAAGTGCGAATGATAAGTCCTAAAGCCCTATTGGCTTTCGAGACAATTGAACCCACATGTTCAGCAAAGTCCAGCTTTTGGTCAAGAATAACTCCTAAATCCCGAATGGATGTGACGTTTTCTAAGGTAATTCCGTTGATTTTGTAGGAAGAGTTAATAAAGTTTCGTTTCAACGTGATTTTGAAAGATTTACATTTTGAAGCATTAAGTACCAGTTTCCAGTCAGCCGCCCATCGTGCTACTGCATCTAAGTCCCTCTGAAGTGCTAGCACATCAGCTGCTGACCTGATCTCGTTGAAAAGTTTGAGGTCGTCAGCAAAAAGCAAACAATTTGTAGATATTGCAGTGGGCAGGTCGTTAATAAAGTACGTATCGCAGAAGTACGTACTGTATAAAGTACGTATGGACAAAAGTACGTCAGGGACAAAAGTTCGTATCGCAGAAGTACGTAGGGTTTAAAGTACGTATGGACAAAAGTACGTCACGGACAAAAGTACGTATAGCTAATGTACGTAGGGTAAAAAGTAGGTACCTACGTATGGACAAAACTACGTCACGGACAAAAGTACGTATCGCAGAAGTGCGTAGGGTATAAAGTACGTATGGACAAAAGTACGTCACGTATAAAAGCCTACGTATAGCAAATGTACGTAGGGTATAAAGTATGCCTTGGGCAAGACGCCCCAGACAATTTATTTTGCTACATAGGTACCTACTTTTGTCTCACATCACCTGGAAAGCCAAATTTGTGCTCAATGTGTTCTTTGGACATTTTACTTTAAATTCCACCCCTCAAATTCATTCACTTATGATCGGACTCCCAGCTAGGAAGTGATTTGTGAAGCAACTGCAAATGGGGCATTTTGCCCCAACCCCAAACGCCCCACGGCCTGAGGCAAGAAGCCCCATACACTAGATTAAAGATTGAACATGGTAGTTGGCTAAATCTTATATGAGAGGTCCGTTAGACCGCTGGAGGTACGGCACTGAAGGTAACACCTTCCATCCTATCAAGTGTTCAGCTATGACACTATTGTATGAGCAGGTTTTTCACCTGCCTCATAAGGCCAAATAATAAATTATTGCAATGCAAATCAGTTAACAATATGCTTCCTTTGCCATACAGTTGCTGAGAAAAATACATATAAATGCATAGAAACTTGTTGTTCGCCAGCTACCGAACATTAGGAAGTGGGTAGTCCGAACAACACATGAGGTAAAACGCCCCATGGGGCTTTTTGCCCCGCGACCTACTGGGGCGTTTTACCCCATCACGTAGTTCGGTCAGCGAACAACGCCTTGCGCTCCAGCAAGACATAATTTAACACGAACCAACCCGGCATCATAAGCGTTAGACAACAGTTGTTCAAAATATATAAAAGTCGTTAACCTGATGTGGACCACAAAAGAACGCGATGATGTATAATCAGACAACCAAACATAAAAATCACTCAACAAACACATTTTTGGCTATATCTCCCTAGAGAGTTATCACAATTTTTTCCAGTCTGCCCATATAATGATCATATATAGTGCACATTTAACAGAAGAGAGGATCTTTCCCCAGAACCCTGCCAGTTCCGAGAAACATCGGTGAGGCGTTTTACCTCGGCGGGGCAACTTGCCCCGGTCTACCCTACGTGTGGACAAAAGTACGTCACGGACAAAAGTACGTATAGCAAATGCACACGTAGGGTATTAAGTACGTACCCCACCCTTGGGTTAACCCGCGCGGGGCTGGGGTCTCCAGCCGAACGCGCGGGGCTGGGGGGGGGGGTAAATTTTACCCCCCCCCCCTGTTATCTCCCGAATTAATGGTCCGATTTGGAAAATTCAAACGCCACTCGAAAGATCTCATCACGAAAAACTAAAAACATGTACTTAATTTAAAGTTTGAGGTCAAGGTCAAGGTCAGGTCAAGGGTACAAATTGCAAGTTCCTACAGTATCGGCCTTGCACCGTAGTTGCCGAAGAATGGAGTCATGGACTGAGACTGATCGCCCAAAACGTGTTCTTAGGCTACCAAGACAATATTCGTTGCATACAATATCATTCAGAGGTCAAGGTCAAGGTCAGGTCAGGTCAGGTCACCAAAAAACAAAATATAGAAAAGGGCATGTGCGACACATGTTTTATGGGTCATTTTACTCATAGAATTCAATAGGCACACTCAATAAGTGATATGGACCACCTCTGGATGAATTTCAGGTCGAGGTCAGGTCAAGGTCAGGTCAAGTGAGGTCAAATTTTGAAGTTGGTTGCTAAGGCCTAAAAAGGTGTCTATCTGATGCAGTTTTTCACGGCGAGTCGAATGGTGCTATTTTTGTTTCCATACGAGGTCTAGAACTTCCAAAAAAGTCATTTTTCAAAATTTGTGTGTGTCGTGACGTCATACAATTTTGAATAACTCCCACATTTTTGAACCGATTCTTGTAAACTTGGTATGTAGGTACACATAGACCACTTCTCTGACATATATTCCGGTACTTCTCATATATTTATTCTCATTCTCATATTCCGGACATATATTTCGTAATTCTACTTTGTCCGGATAGACAAAGTAGAATTACGTATATCCTTTTTTGTTACGTCTTGATTCCTTTAAAAATGAAGATGTTAGCGGCGTTTGAACTTTTGCCGTTTTTGAAGCGAAAATGGCGAACATGACGTCACTAAAACGTCAATTTCTCAAAAAAATTTCCGACGGATTTCGCTCAAATTTTCAGGGAACGTGTCAAATTGATGTAAAAAAAGGTACTGAAAGTTTGGCGGCGCTGCGCGCCGCCGTTTTTGAGATATTGCAAAAATTCGCGAGGGGGGGTAAAATTTACCCCTCAGCCCCGCGCGGGTTAAGTTGATTAATGTGTAATACCTTTTTTATTCTTTATTTAATGAGCATTTCTTACAAGGCATAGCAAAATTTCTCGATGAGTAAATGGGCGAAATAGACAAAGCTATATTATTTGGTAAATGAATTTATCATGAGTTCCCTGTAGCATGGCAACAGAGCAGCAATAAGGAAAAAGTGGCTCAACTTACACTACTATACCCTACTTCTAGCATACGTATTTTATACACTACGTACTTTGGCATACGAACCGTATGTACGGCATCAATCTATTAGAACGATATTGATACTAGGTGCAGATCCAGCCACCCTGCAACCACCTTGGGTTCTAATTATGTTTATCAGTGAAAGGTGCTATTTTGTTTCGTATGCTTCGAGAAGTATGCAATGTGTACTGAAATGGTGCGGCTAGTAGTCTTGTTCTAACCAAGGTGTACGTTATCCATCTATTTAACCCTCGCCCGCACATGCCATTTTCCCATCCTAGAACGCACATGGGGGGGGTGGTTGCCACCCCCCCCGCGCCGTTTCGTTCCTGTTGGAGATAGAGCTTAGCGGTAAAGACCAAAAAGATTCTTTGGGAAGAGACGAATCCAATGATACCCAGTTTTACCTTCTCAGGTCAGTCATTGACCTTCCAGGTCAGGTCAAACTAAAAAATGTTGCTGTTTTAGGTCACCGTTGGATATCAAGCGCGCTGCTTGTCATATACCGATGACGATGCCGTTTTCTGGTGCCAAGCCAGCTAGAACCTCTTTGTCACACTACCCGACCAGGTTTTTGCTGCTGAGGTCATCTCAGGTCAAGTTAGGTCAAGGTCAATAATATGTGTTTGTATGTCTGTGTGTGTCTGTGTGTATACTGATGTGTGCACCGATTGTTTATGTGTCCATATCACATGAAATCATGATCTGAGAAGCTTTTACCAAAAATGTAGTCAAAAAATTTCAAAAAAAGTAAATTCAGCTTGCCTAAAACGCAATTATCTTAGATGACCTAGGTTGACCTTGACCCTGACCTTGACCTCTGTACATCGTCGAACAACATGTTTCATGATAGGTGGGAGGTAGGATTGGCATAAAAGGCCGAAATCAAGGTGTTAAAAGCTCACAAGGCCCATAGCCAACGCAAGATGTTGAGAATTGGCCATTTGGGTCATGACATGACCTGAAAAACAAGGTCATATCTCCGAAACCAAAAACCACAGAAACTTGAAATTTTCAGTGGACATCAAGAAAGGATAGAGGAGCAGCTATACGAAAAATCAGCCTTCTAGCTCTAAAAATGTTGAGTGCAGAGCAGAAAGACTACCTGGGGGGGGGGTGGCAACCACCCCCCCCATGTGCGGGCGAGGGTTAAAATATCGACTTATATTAGAACTATATTGATACTAGGTGTACATCCAGCCACCCTAAAACCACCTTAGGTTCTAAATATTTTTTTCAACAAAAACGACAATAACGCGAATACTATGCTATTGGTCAATCGGCGTTACAGCAAGACGCGCGAGACTCCGCACCTTAAATTGGCATCATCACCGTATTCATTTTCCATCTAGTTCGGCAACAAAACCCAAAAGTTTATATTTGCCCCCAAAACAAACTTTTGCATTTTGTTGCCACCATAGGCGCGGGAGCCGGGGGGGCAGTGGGGGCAGCTTGCCCCCCCCCCCCCAACTCTGGGGCCGTGGGGGCGGTGCCCTCACAGCTTTGAGACGGAATACCACACTTTTTTTTGCAAATATTTTCTTTTTTGTTGAAAAAGCCGAGGGATGAAAAACAAGTGGCCTAAAACCGGTGAGAAAACTAGATTTGG